ATAATATGTAGGCGCCCCAAAGTTAAAATAAAATGGCTCTGAATATACTGGGTTAGAAAAAATATACAATACCTTATTCTACTCGGTTTTTGAGTACATACACCAACTCAGTATGCTCTCTCATGTAAAATACAGAAATTCTAATTTTACCCATATCGAAAAAATCTAAATATTATCTAGGCACCTTAATGTTAAAAACAAAATTGCTCTGAATATAATCTGTTAGAAAAAATATACAATGCCCTCTTCTACTCTGTTTTGGAGTATATACACCAACCCCATATGCTCTCTCATGTAAAATACAGAAATTCTATATTTAAGCGAATCGAAAAATATCTAAATTTTATCTAGGTACACCAATGTTAAAAGCAAAATTACCCTGAATATAATCTGTCCGAAGAAATATACAATGCCTTATTCTACTCTGTTTTGGAGTATATACACCAACTCAGTATGCTCTCTCATGTAAAATACAGAAATTCTAATTTTACCCGAATCGAAAAGAATCTAAATATTATCTAGGCACCCCAATTTAAAAACAAATTGCTCTGAATATAACGTCAGAAAAATATACAATGCCCTATTCTACTCTTTTTTGAGTATATACACCAAGTCTACTTGCTCTCTCATGTAAAATACAGAAATTCTATATTTCAGTGAATCAAAAAAAAGTCTAAATATTATCTAGGCACCCCAATGATAATAGCAAAATTACTCTGAATACAATCTGTCAGAAAAAAAATACAACATTCTTTTCTACTCTGTTTTGGACTATATACACCAAATCAATATGCTCTCTCATGTGAAATAACGAAATTCAAATTTTACGCGAATCGAAAAAAATCTAAATCATATCTAGGCGCCCCAAAGTTAAAAGAAAATGGCTCTGAATATAGTCTTATAGAGAAAATATACAATGTCCTATTCTACTCTGTTTTGGAGTACATACACCAAATCAATATACTCTCATGTAAAATACAGAAATTCTATATTTAAGCGAATCGAAAAAATCTAAATATTATATAGGCACTAGAAGGTTAAAAGCAAAATTGCTCTGAATATAATCTGTCAGAAATAATATAAAATGCCCTATTCTACTCTGTTTTGGAGTATATACACCAACTCCATATGCTCTCTGATGTAAAATACGGAAATTCTAATTTTACGTGAAGGGAAAAAAAAACCTAAAGAATATATAGGCGCCCCAAAGTTAAAAGAAAATGGCTCTGAATATAGCCTGTAAGAAAAAATATACAATGCCTTATTCTACTCTGTTTTGGAGTATATACACCAACTCAGTATGCTCTCTCATGTAAAATACCGAAATTCTAATTTTCCCCGAATAGAAAAAATCTAAATATTATCTAGGCACCCCAATGTTAAAAACAAAATTGTTCTGAATATGATCTGTCTGACAAAATATACAATGCCCTATTCTACTCTGTTTTGGAGTGTATACACCAACTCAATATGCCCTCTCATGTAAAATACAGAAATTCTAATTTTACCCGAATCGAAAAACTCTAAATATTATGTAGGTAACCCAATGTTAAAATCAATATTGCTCTGAATATAATCTGACAGAAAAAATATAAAATGCCCTTATCTACTCTTTTTTGCAGTATATACATCACCTCAATATGCTCTCTCACGTAAAATACAAAATTCGAAATTTACGTGAATCGAAAAAAATCTAAATAATATCTAGGTGCCCAAAAGTTAAAAGAAAATGGCTCTGAATATATTCTGTTAGAAAAAATATACAATGCCTTATTCTTTGTTTTAAAGTATAAACACCAACTCAGTATGCTCTCTTATGTAAAATACTGAAATTATAATATTACCGGAATCGAAAAAATTTAAATATTATATAGGCACCCGAATGTTAAAAACAAAATTGCTCTGAATATAATCTGTCAGAAAAAATATACAATGCCCTATTCTACTCTGTTTTGGAGTATATACACCAACTTCATATGCTCTCTCATGTAAAATACAGAAATTCTAAATTTAGCGAAACGAAAAATATCTAAATATAATCTAGGCACCCCAATGTTAAAAACAAAATTGCTCTGAATATAATCTGTCAGAAAAAATACACAATGCCCTATTCTAATCGGTTTTTGCGTATATACACCAACTCAATATGCTCTCTCATGTAAAATACAGAAATTCTATATTTAAGCAAATCGAAAAAAATCTAAATATTATCTAGGCACCCCAATGTTGAAAACAATATTGTTCTGGGTATAATCTGTTAGAGAAAATATACAATGCCCTTTTCTACTTTGTTTTGTAGTATATACACCAACTCAATATGCTCTTTCATGTAAAATAAAAAATTCTAATTTTACCCGAATCGAAAAAATCTAAATATTATCAAGGCACCCCAAAGTTAAAAGAAAATGACTCTAAATATACTCTGTCAGGTAAAAAAAATATACAATGCCTTATTCTACTCTGTTTTGGAGTATATACACCAACTCAATATGCTCTCTCATGTAAAATACCGAAATTCTAATTTACGAGAATCGAAAAAATCTAAATATTATCTAGGCACCCCAATGTTAAAAGCAAAATTGCTCTGAATATAATCTGTCAGAAAAATATACAATGCCCTTTCTACTCTGTTTTGGAGTATATACACCAACTCAATATGCTCTCTCATGTAAAATACCGAAATTCTAATTTTACGCGAATCGAAAAAATCTAAATATTATCTAGGCACCCCAATGTTAAAAGCAAAATTGCTCTGAATATAATCTGTCAGAAAAAATATACAATGCCCTTTTCTACTCTGTTTTGGAGTATATACACCAACTCAATATGCTCTCTCATGTAAAATACAAAATTCTAATTTACGCGAATCGAAAAAAATCTAAATATTATCTAGGCACCCCAATGTTAAAAGCAAAATTGCTCTGAATATATTCTGTTAGAAAAAATATACAATGCCTTTTTCTTTTTAGTTTTAAAGTATAAACACCAACTCAGTATGCTCTCTTATGTAAAATACTGAAATTATAATATTACCGGAATCGAAAAAATTTAAATATTATATAGGCACCCGAATGTTAAAAACAAAATTGCTCTGAATATAATCTGTCAGAAAAAATATACAATGCCCTATTCTACTCTGTTTTGGAGTATATACACCAACTTCATATGCTCTCTCATGTAAAATACAGAAATTCTAAATTTAGCGAAACGAAAAATATCTAAATATAATCTAGGCACCCCAATGTTAAAAACAAAATTGCTCTGAATATAATCTGTCAGAAAAAATACACAATGCCCTATTCTAATCGGTTTTTGCGTATATACACCAACTCAATATGCTCTCTCATGTAAAATATAGAAATTCTATATTTAAGCAAATCGAAATAAATCTAAATATTATCTAGGCACCCCAATGTTGAAAACAATACTGTTCTGGGTATAATCTGTTAGAGAAAATATACAATGCCCTTTTCTACTTTGTTTTGTAGTATATACACCAACTCAATATGCTCTTTCATGTAAAATAAAAAATTTTAATTTTACCCGAATCGAAAAAATCTAAATATTATCAAGGCACCCCAAAGTTAAAAGAAAATGACTCTAAATATCGTCTGTTAAAAAAAAATACACAATGCCTTATTCTACTCTGTTTTGGAGTATATACACCAACTCAGAATGCTCTCTCATGTAAAATAAAGAAATTCTAATTTAACGTGAATCGAAAAAATCTAAATATTATCTAGGCACACCAAAGTTAAAAACAAAATTGCTCTGAATATAATCTGCCAGAAAAAATATACAACTCCCTCTTCCACTCTGTTTTGGAGTATATACACCAACTCAGTATGCTCTCTAATGTAAAATACCGAAATTCTAATTTACGTGAATCGAAAAAAATCTAAATATTATCTAGGCACCTTAATGTTAAAAACAAAATTGCTCTGAATATACCCTGCCAGAAAAAATATACAATGCCCTATTCTACTCTGTTTTGGAGTATATACACCAACTTAATATGCTCTCTCATGTAAAATACAGAAATTCTAATTTTACGAGAATCGAAAAAAATCTAAACAATACCTAGGTGCCCCAAAATTAAAAGAAACTGCCTCTGAATATAGTCTGTTAGAAAAATTATACAATGACTTATTCTACTCTATTTTGGAGTATATACACCAACTCAGTATGCTCTCTGATGTAAAATACAGAAATTCTAATTTTACCCGAATCGAAACAATCTAAATATTATCTAGGCACCCCAATGTTAAAGCAAAATTCCACTGAATATAATCTGTCCACAAAAATATACAATGCCCTTTTCTATTCTATTTTGTGGTTTATACACCAACTCAATATGCTCTCTCATGTAAAATATAGAAACTCTAATTTTACCCGGATCGAAAAAAATCTAAATATTATCTAGGCACCCCAATGTTAAAAGCAAAATTCTCTGAATATAATCTGTCAGAAATAATATACAATGCCCTATTCTATTCTCTTTTGTAGTATATACACCAACTCAGTATGCTCTCTCATGTAAAATTCCGAAATTTTAATTTTACGTGAATCGAAAACAATCTAAATAATATGTAGTTGCCCCAAAGTTAAAATTAAATGGTTCTGAATATAGTCTGTTAGAAAAAATATACAATGCCTTTTTCCCCTCGGTTTTGGAGTACATACACCAACTCAGTATGCTCTATCATGTAAAATACAGAAATTCTATATTTAAGCGTATCGAAAAATATCTAAATATTATCTAGGTACACCAATGTTAAAAGCAAAATTACCCTGAATATAATCTGTCCGAAGAAATATACAATGCTTCATTCTACTCTGTTTTTTACTATATACACCAACTCATTGTCCTCTCTCATGTAAAATACCGAAATTCTAATTTTACCCGAATCGAAAAAATCGAAATATTATCTACGCACACCAATGTTAAAAACAAATTTGATCTGAATATAAACTGTCAGAAAAAATATACAATGCCCTATTCTACTCTGTTTTGGAGTATATACACCAACTCCATATGCTCTCTCATGTAAAATACAGAAATTCTAATTTTACACGAATCGAAAAGAATCTAAATATGATCTAGGTACCCCAATGTTAAAAGCAAAATTGCTCTCAATATAATCTGTCAGAAAAAATATACAATGCCCTTTTCTACTGTGTTTTGGAGTGTATACACCAACACAATATTCTCCCTCATGTAAATTACCCAAATCCTAACATTACTCTAAGTATCTCATAAAGTGCACAAGACCCCCTTGATGTTGTTTTTTATAACTAGGGGATTACAGATGACATTACTCACGATATGACTGCAGCTGTTTGCCGGTCCTGTGATAATGTTTCTAATATCCAGAGATGGAGAGGGGAATGTTTCTGCCCATAGGCAAATCCTCTGAATACGGCAAGAGGAGTACACCGTGCTGTGATATTTTCACTAATGTAAACAAGAAAACAATTATATTGAATTAAATATTGCAAGGTGTTAACCCCCCCTATAATTTTCCTTGTAATTTCAAGGGGTTGAGGAGGACATTTTTGTCAAAATGGCGGAGGTGTAACTTCAGCTATTGTCTACTATATAATAAAAAAGGATAAAATTATTATTTACATATGATATGATTGCCAGTATCATATTACACCACATTTTCAAAATATCTGGGCCCCAGCAGCTGTGGGCATGGCAGCCAAGCGAGGGTGTCCCTATGCAACCAGGTTGGGCATTGCAGCTGCTACGGGCCCTTTGTGATTTGTCTGGGGGCTGCTTCGGGCCCTCTGGCGGTGGCTGTGGTAACAGCCACATAGCCAGAGGGTCTCTCAGCATCCAGGGAGGGCCTGGAGGCTGCTACTGTCACTCTGGCAGGGGCTATGGGCACAGCCACCTAACCAGGGGGTCCCTACGTAGCCAGGGTGGGGCTGGAAGCTGCTATAGGCCCTTTGGCGGGAGGTGTGGGGATACCCTGCTCTTCACAGGTACACAGTTTGCACCTATTTCTACATGTGTAGATTGTTTACATAATGGGCACATATTTGTACACATGTACATATAATATCACAATAAACATATATGTACATAATATGTGTACAATAAATATGTACTTTATACGTACCTAATATAAACAATATGTACTTTTTGGTGATATTATGTGATATCTACATATTATTGATTATATATCTTATTGTGATAATATGTATGTTACCACTGAAATTTTAGAAATGTACATAGAGTACACTTTATGTACCTATGCATTGTGTACACATTATAGAAATAAATAGGTACATATTTTACAGATGATGTACATTTTTTCTACATGTGTATTTTGTACACATATGTACAGCAGAGTAAATGTACAGACTACACCTATTTTATACATTTATTGTGATATGTCAATAAATGTACACATGAGTACATTCTGGGATATAATTTTTAGCATATTAGACAGGAATTACACCGGTGACCAAAGTGGGTTTACACCCAGGTGCGCACATAGTTTATACATGTACATGTTGTGCTTATTATGTACTCATGTACAGAATGTACATCTCTACATTATATATACATAGGTGTACGCAGCATACATAGGTACATACTGTGCACACATATGTACACGTGCATATATTGTACATCTGTACATAATGGGTACATGATGTACATGTGTACACATCATATCACAATAAATGTAAATATACATAATGTTTGCAATATGTACGTTTATATTATGTATTACGTTTATTGTGATTATATATGCTGTTGTGATATGATATCATTGTGACATTACAAATGTACATATTATACACATTATGTACCTATGCATTGTGCACAGATTATAGAAATAGAAAGAAACATATTTTACAGGTTATGTACATTTTATTTACTTGTGTATTGGGTACACAGAGTAAATGTACAGATCTTACTTACTTTAGACATTTATTGTGATATGCCAATAAATGTACACATGAGTACATTCTGTGATATTACACTTAGAATATAAGATAGAAATTACTCTGGTTACCAAAGTGGGTGTAAACTTATGTGTGCACATATTTTGTACATGTACATACTGTGCATATTATGTACTTGTGTACAGAAGGTAAATATCTACATTATATGTATGTATGGGTACAGAGCGTACATATGTACATACTATGTACATATATCTACACCTGAATTTATTGTACATTCGTACATAATGGGTCCATGCTGTACATGTAAACACATCGTCATACCACAATAAATGGAAATGTACATAATGTGTGAAATACGTACATTTATATTATGTATTACATGTGTATTGTGATTGTATATGCTGTTCTGATATCATTCTGATATTACAAATGTACATATTGTACACATTATGGACATACCTATTGTGTACATATTATGTACACATAAATGTACATATTGTACAGATTATGTATATTTATTGTACATCTGTATGGTGCACACATATGTACATCACAGTCAACGTACATATGGTACATATTCTGTGCATTGTTTGTAATATTTCAGTAAGAGTACACATTATAAGTATATTCTTGGATATGATTTTTAGTATGTTAGATAAAATTACTTTCAATATCAAAGTGGGTATACACTTATGTGTGTCCATTTTGTGATATTATCCATCATATCCTGAGTAGGTATTTCTCTCATTGTGAAAGCAGGTTTACACTCTCGGATTGCTCCAATATCAAGGCAAACTAAAACTTGTCTGTGATGTAGTTAATAATATACTGAGGACAAAGGATGACCATACCCTGAATATCGCAGGAAGTGTACACCACCACTGTAGTATTGTTTCTAATGTTCAAAAACGGAAAGGATATTACTCCAAATATCTCAGAAAGCACACAAGCCCCCCGTGATATTGTTTCTAATAACTAGAGAATTACAGATGACATTACCCACGACGTGACTGGGGCTGTACTCTGGTCCTGGAATATTGTTCCTAATATCCAGAGAAGGAGAGGAAAATGTTGCTGCCCATAGGGAAATACTCTTAATACGGCAAGAGGTGTACACCATGCTTTGATATGGTCACTAATGTAAGCAAGAAGACAATTACATTGAATTAAGCATTGCAAGGAATGAAACTCCCCTATGATTTTCATTCTAATGTCAATGGGGGTGAGGATGACATTTTTGTCAATATGGCAGAGGTGTAACTGGAGCTATTGCCTAATATACAAAAAAACAGAATAAGATTATCATTTTTATATAATATGGTTGCCAGTATCATATTACACCGGATTTGCAAAATAGCTGGGCCTCAGCAGCTGTGGGCAGAGCCCACAAGCGAGGGGACCCCTAAACAGCCAGGGTGGGCCTGGGGGCTGCTCTGGGCTTTTTGGTGGGGTCTGTGAGCACATCGACCCAGCCAGGGGTCCCCGAGCAGCCATGGTTGGCCTGGGGGCCGCTACGGGCACTCTGGCATGGGCTGTGGGCACAGACACCTAGTCAGGGGGTCCCTAAGCAGCCAGGGTGGGCATGGGGGCTGCTACAGGCATTCGAGCAGTGTTTGTGGGCACAGCCCAATTGCCAGGGGGTCTCTAAGCAGCCAGGCTGGGCCTGGGGGCTGCTATAAGGGGGGCTTTGGTAATAGCGTGCTGTGCATCGGTACATAGTTTGCACCTATTACTACATGTGTAAATAGTTTTAATATCGGGCATATATATGTATATGCGTACATATGGAGTTATCACGATAAATTTATATTTACATAATATGTGCAAAATACATATGTACCTAATGCATACCTAATGTGTACAATATGTACTTTTTTGTAATATTAGACAATATATATTACTGTGATTATATATCTTATTGTGATTAAATATATTTTATCACTAATATTTTAAGGAATGTGCATAGTGTACACATTATATACCTATGTATTGTGTACACAATATAGAAATATATAGGTACATATTTTACAGATTATGTACACTTTTTCTACATGTGTATTGTGTACACCTATGCACAGCAGAGTAAATGTACAGACTGTACCTATTTTATACATTTCTTGTGATATGCCAATAAATGTACACATTATGAGTACATTCTAAAATATAATTTTTACCATATTAGAAATTACTCCATTGACCAAAGTGGGTGTACACCCAGGTGTGTACATAGTTTACACGTGTACATATTGTGCATATTAGGTACTCATGTACAAAATGTACATGTCAACATTATATGTATTTATGTGTACATAGTGTGCAAATGTACATACTGTTCACACACATGTACATGTGCATATTTTGTACATGTGTACATAATGGGTACATGATGTGCATGTGTACACACCGTGATACCACAATAAATGTAAATGTACACGATGTGTGCAATATGTACATTTATATTATGTATTACTTGTGTATTGTGATTTTATATGCTGTTGTGATTATATGATATCATTGTAATATTACAATAAATGTATATATTGCACACATTTCGTACATACCTATTGTGTACACATTATGTACCTGTAATTGCACATATTGTACAGATTATGTACGTTTTTGGTACATCTGTATTGTGTACACATATGTACATAACACTCTATGTACATATGGTATGTATTCTGCACATTGATTGTAACATCTCAATAAGTGTACACATTATGAGTATATTGTGATATATGATTTTTAGTATATTAGATAAACATTTCTTTCTATATCAAAGTGGGTATACACCCATGTGTGTCCATTTTTTGATATTATCCATCATATTTTAAGTAGGTATTACTCTCATTTTGAAAGCAAGTGTTCACTCTGTGATTGTTCCAATATCACAGGCAAAGTACAAGGCTTCTTTAATGTACTACCTAATATCCTGGGGACAAAAGATTATTATACCCTGAATATCGCAGGAAGTGTACACCACCACTGTAGTATCGTGTCTAATATCCAAAAACGGAAAAGATATTACTCCAAGTATCTGATAAAGCACACAAGACCCCCGTGATATTTTTTCTAATAACTAAGGGATTACAGATGACATTACTCACGATATGACTGGGGCTGTCCGCCGGTCCTGTGATATTGTTCCTAATATCCAGAGAACGAGAGAATAATGTTGCTGCCCATAGGCAAATCCTCTGAATACGGCAAGAGGAGTACACTGTGCTCTGATATGGTCACTAATGTAAACAAGAAAACAATTATATTGAATTTAACATTGCAAGGGGTGAAACCCCCTTATGATTTCAATTCTAATGTCCAGGGGTGTGAGGATGACATTTTTGTCAATATGGCAGAGGTGTAACTAGAACTATTGCCTAGTATATAAAAAACCAGGATAACATCATTTCCATATGATATGGTCGCCAGCATCATATTACACCACATTTTCAAAATAGCCGGGCACAGCGCCCTAGCCAGGGGGTCCCTAAGCAGCCACCGTCAGCCTGGGAGCTGTTACGGGCCCTCTGGCGGGGAATGTGGTTACAGCTCCCTAGCCAGGGGGTCTTTAAGCAGCCAGGGTGGGCCTTGGGGCTGCTACGAGGGGGGGCTGCGGTAATAGCCTGTTCTGCACAGGTACATAGTTTTAATAATGAACACATATTTGTATAAGTGTACACATGGTGTTATGATAAATATATATGTACATATGTGCACAATACATATAGACCTAATGCGTACCTACTGTGAACAATATGTACTTTTTTGTGATATTACATGATATATATATATTACTGTGATTATATGCGTTATTTTGATTATATATATTTTATCACTGACATTTTAAGGAATGTGCATAGTGTACACATTATGTACCTATACATTGTTTACACATTATAGAAATATGTAGGTACATATTTTACAGAGTATGTACATTTTTGTACATGTGCATTGTGTACACATATGTACAGCAGGGTAAATGTACAGATTGTACCTATTTTATACATTTATTGCAATATGCCAGTAAATGTACACACTATTACTACATTCTGAATTATTATATTTTGTATATTAGATAGAAATTTCTCCGGTTACCAAAGTGGTTGTACACCCAGGTGTGTACATAGTTTATATGCGTACATATTGTGCATAGAATGTACTCGGGTACAGAAGGTACATATCTACATTATATGTACACATGTGTAGTGTACATATGTACATACTGTACCCACATATGTACGCTTGCATATATTGTGCATCTGTACATAGTGGGTACATGATGTACATGTTTACATATCATATCACAATAAATGTAAATGTACATGTTTGCCATATGTACATTTATATTGATATTACATATTACATGTGTATTGTGATTTTATATGCAGTTGTGATTATATAACATTGTGATATTACAATAAACGTACATATTGTACACATTATGTGCATACCTATTGTGTGCACATTTTGTACATATATTCGTACAAATGATAGTTTATGTACATTTATTGTACATCTGTACTGTGTACATGTATGTACATCACAGTCAATGTACATATGTTAAATATTCTGTACATTGAGTGTAATATCCCAATAAGTGTACAGATTATGAGTTTTTCTGGGTTATGACATTTAGTATATTAGATAAAAATGACTTCCAATATCACAGTGGGTATATAGCCATGTGTGTCCATTTTGTGATATTATCCATCATATCCTAAGTAGGTATTTCTCTCACAATGAAAGAAGGTGTACACTCTGTGATTGTTCCAATATTATAGGCAAAGTGCAAGGCTTCTGTGATGTAGTTCCTAATATCCCAGGGACAGAGGATGAGTATACTCTTAATATCGCAGGAAGTGTACACCACCACTGTAGTATTGTTTCTAATATCCAGAAACTAAAAGGATATTACTCCAAATATCTCCAAAAGCACACAAGACCCCCGTTACATTGTTCTTAATAACTAGGGGATTACAGATGACATTGCTCACGATGTGACTGGCGCTGTAAGCCGGTCCTGTGATATTCTTCCTAATATCCAGATAAGGAGAGAAAAATGTTGCTGCCCGTAGAGAAATATTCTGAATACTGCAAGAGATGTACACCGTGCTCTGATATGGTCACTAATGTAAACAAGAAAACAATTATATTGAATTAAACATTGCAAGGGGTGAAACCCTCCTATGCTTTCAATTCTAATGTCAATGGGTGAGGATGACATTTTTGTCAATATGCCAAATGTGTAACTAGAACTATTGCCTAATATGTAAAGAACCACAATAACATTATCATTTCTGTGTGATATGGTTGCCAGTATCATATTACACCACATTTTCAAAATAGCCGGGCCCCAGCAGCTGTGGACACAGCGCCCTAGGCAGGGGGTCCCTAAGCAGCCAGCGTGGGCCTGGTAGCTGTTATGGGCCCTCTGGCGGGGGCTGTGGGTACAGCCCCCTAGCCGGGGGTCTTTAAGCAGCCAGGGTGTGCATTGAGGCTGCTACGAGCAGAACTGTAGTAATAGCCTGCTGTGCATAGGCATGTAGTTTGTACCTATTTCTGCATGTGTACATTGTTTAAATAGTAGGCACATATTTGTATACGTGTACATACGGTGTTATCATGATACATATATATTTTCATAATATGTGCACTATACATATGTACCTAATACATACCTAATGTGTACAATACGTACTTTTTGGTGATATTACACGACATATATGTATTAGTGTGATTATATATCTTACTGTGATTATATATATTTTATCACTGATATTTTAAGGAATGGGCATAGTGTACACATTATGTACATTCATTGTTGGTACACCCTTATATAAATAAAGTAATATAAGGTACATATTTTACAGCTATATGTCCTATTATGTGTACATATTGTACATTGTTTACACCATATGTACACAGAGTACATGTCCAGATTGTGCCTAT